GCTGAGTTGCGCCTCAGGGACGAGCGAGAACTCAATCAGATATTGGGCAAACTGAGACAATAACTCGTAGTGAGTTATTAACCAATTCGAATCGCCAGTAAATTTATAGTATGCGTAGGCCATTAAGATGAAATTTCCGCTATTTTCCACCGGCATGTACTCGTCAGTGCCTTCAACGTGACCAGTTGCTAAAGGGAAATGAGCGCCGATGTCATGTGTCGAGTAGGTATTGGGGTAGAAGTCGCCTTCCTGCAATTCGCATAAAGGCTGGAAGATGTATTTGAGTAGAGTTGGGTTTGCGTAAAGGAAAAATGGTGACGCCGGATAAAGAACGTCGACAGTATTGATATTACCATTGCTGGATATTTCCTTTTGGAACATGAGCGGCTCTACGTTATCATCTGCACTGGAGCTGTTGGGCACCGATGGGGGGACAGCAAAAACGTAAGCTCCCATAACCTGTCTGGCTGATAACGCTACAATCGCGTAGTATGACTCGGCCTCCGAGACGAAAGGAACCGCAATACCAGTAGCATTAGTTGGTTCAAGGAATCCATACGCTGAATTAGGATCAAATTCATACTGCTGTCCATATTGATCAGTTCCGTTTAGGACATCTTGCGCCGTATAAGATGAATTGTTAGTGAAAACGACAGCCGTGCCGTTGCTATAAACCGGAGGCTCGTTCCCTTGGTAGAAAGCATTGACATCAGCTCGAAGCTGTATTTCAAACTCGTTAGCTAACGCTGCGACAGTATCAAAGTCATTCCAATGGAAACGTATCATATCGTGCATTTCTCCGTAACATTTCTCCCACCACGGCGCTAAATTTGACAATCCACCCTTGTGAAGATATCTGACGATTGGATTCTGAATTGAGCCGATGGTATAGCGAACAGAAGTCTCTATCACATCACCCATGTCATGAGCAAAGGCGTAGACAGGCTCCTGGTTCCCAAAGCCGCGAGCTGCCGAGCCAGCATTGTCGTTGAGAGCTTGATTATTAACAAAACCAAACCGGACGCTCGTAGCTGATCCGCTTTGGTACGAGAAGTTTGCAGCTCTAGCAGGGCTTGTAGTGAAAGAGAAATTTCCCCATCGCGGGACCTGTGAGGCCTCGGCGAAAAGTGCGGGAAACTTTGGTCGTAGAATCCAGCTGGTTGGGACATCTGTTGAATTTCCTGTTCCGTTCCCGTTTAGAGGGCCAGTGTGGAACTCTTTTATAATGTCGAATTCGTTCCCCAGTCCAATCCACTGAGCGTTCACATCGGAGTAGAATTTTACATGATGTGGACGGCCGTCATTTGACTGGACCGTGGTAGTTAGGTAACTAAGAGGGATAGAACTTCGGCAGATATCCTTTGGCGTAACCGGTGAGAAGAAGCTGGCGGTAATAATTACCGGGCCAGCTAAGAAAGTAAAGTTCGAGTATTGAGAGTCGAACCTGACTTCAAGAGGTATCGTTGTATTGAAGTATGGTAGCTCCGGAAAATCATTAATGGAAGTGCCCATGTACTCGAACGAGTTGCCGTCGACAACTACAATTCCTTCCCATCCTAAACCCTGGCCAAACCAGAATATGGGATTTTGATTACTTAGCGCTCCTTGCCCAGCGGTAGAAGACCAAGCGCTAGTGTAAGGAGACCTGACAGCCAAGGGGATAGCTGGTGGTCTTAAGGGGTAATATTTTGGGGCATCTGCTGCGGCGGCGGCATTTGGATAGATAGTGAAATTGGTAAAGGGGCGTTGAGCTAGGACATTAGGTAAGATGGATGTAAGAGCCCAAGAGGCTCCAATAGCCAAGTTCCGAAGGGTACGCATGATTATTCTAGCGTCCTATCCTTAGATATGGAAGATACGTTAGATCAGTCTACCCTAGGGATACAAGTAGTCGAATTGTACCTGCATAACGAAGGGCGGCATGACATATATATGACCTTCACGGATACACCATATTACTCACCTTTCGCTATGTAGAAATAAAGTATATAACAACATCTATAGCACATCTGGGAATATGCTTCGGGGTAGGCGGGGATCTTCCAATAACGGGAAGCAGATATTATTCGGCATAAACAAGGAGGTGATTTAGGTCTGTAGGGTAATAAACGGCCGATGCGTAACTATATGAAATGGTTTAATGTATGGTCGAATGGAATGTAGCTATAAGTAATATCTCGATAGAGTATATCTTAGGAACTTATATTATATTCTCAGTGGGAAAAAAATGAATTCTTTTAGATGAAGAGCCCAAAGGGTTAAAGTTCGTAACCATCATATAATAATGATTGCTATTTGTAAAAGTCGTCCCACAGTTGAAAAGAGTATTCAAGCTTGAGGTTACTGGTGTGAGGTATATGGCGTATTGTACCTGCTTTAGCGCCGATAGACTGACATCACCAATGTTTACATATACTTGTCGATTCCACCCAATGCGAAAGACATGCACCTATGTACAATACCTAGGTAGATGATGTTGGGTGCATATCAGATCCCAGTTACACGGGATGTAGTGGACACGCAACTACCGTTATCAGACGCTGAGTGGATAGTTTAGTGCTCACTCAACGTGATTGGCTACTTTCAATCTGAATTTACCCTTTTAGGTAATTAACTATTTGTTCAACGAGAGGGGCACGAGGAAGTATGTTCTGGCTTGATTGATTGTTGATTGATTGATTGATTGATTGATTGTTATGGAGTAGTGTCCACAATCCGGGTTATACGCAATATACCTATAAAAGCCCTCAAGTTCATGGGCTCATGGGTTCGTCCGAACTAGCGAGGTTAATGAGTAATAGGTAGCCGGCAGATTGATTGGTACGGTACATTCACATTGGTTAAAATAGGTGCTTGTGTCGTACGTGAACGGCAGAGTTGCTTGGTATTTCTTGACGAGAAGATTTACCTACCCAAGGTAACTAACACTCTTGTTTTCATGTTTTCATGTATGTGTTACACTCGCGGCCAGCACGTTATATGGGACTCGAGTCTTATCGGAACTACATATTCCACACCACATGGCCGGCCCGTAAACCCCCTAACAGCGAACCCCCGCGATTCAACAGCCTTACAAATAAAACGTACCGTACCTAATCTACTCGTGCTCATAACCGCCTGAACTATATGTACCTATATTGGTTTACTATTACAAATCAACAGCTTGATATATGTTGAGCAAGAAAGGTGCCTTATACTGATTTATTTTATTAAATATCTTGGTCACTTATACTGACAATTGCTTACCTATTAACACCGCTCCAATGCATTGTGCATATTAGGTGGTGATAGAGACACGCAATGTGTATATGAAATCCATGTTAGCCGCAAGGTAGATTTATGGAATCGACTTCGGATGAATTCAAACAGGTAGAACTACATAGCATACCTTGTACAGGAACACCACATGTTCATGTTTCGCGTTCCTGATGCGGGTACGCAGGTAGCACGTGGGCGCAACATGTTTCCCCCAATTCAATCCTGTCTACCCAGGTAGTTATACCTAATCCCAAACAATAGTATACTCAGTATCTCGTCCCGACAACCCGCTTGTTTGACGCCCAGGAGTTGCCGCACGAATTGCCGTGGTCCATTCGCATCGACCACGATGATATCGACTTTCTGTCATCTCCTACTAAACTTCAGGCCGCTGAGGTTGAGCTAAAAAGCGCACGAGTTTACGACGTAATGAAGAAAGTATCGCCTGTAGCATAAAAACTATCTCCACGGTTTCCGTACACCTTTGGCATACGGACACGAATACCTTAGCTGCTAACCTAATAGCTTACCTACTACTTTAATTAATAACTGTAGTAATCTAGTGTCACGAGGACGAAGATCATATGGAAGAATGATACTAACGATTTCTACGACTGACTGATAGACAATGTGGTAGTCGGGTAGAAATTGACACAAGGTCAAGGTTCAGCCGGTAATGAATCTTGGTGGGGGCTATTGATCATCTAGGTAACTAGAACGATTTTGGGGGGGGGAGAAGGGGTTTGCGTATGTTCACCATCTGAAGTCTTGAAGCAATTGATGAGCTAGGAGGGGAAAAGGCGTGAGGCGAATTTGCCTGCTTTCCACCCGTCCCAACCAAAAGCCCCATAATCACAATATCCGGAGGTTTGGCATGAGCTTTCAAATGTGGGGAGAGAATGGTGTTGGTTTTCCAAGGAACCAACTGTTTTCATTTATAATAAATGACATTCGCTGGATCGGCGGCTGGGAAAAAGAGGAATGCCGACAAAATATTGCCCAAGTGCTGACACAATTCATGCCAAGCTTTACCGGCATGATGCCAGGGGGGAATCAAGGGGACCTAGGTACTCATACTGGTAACTATGACCTTCCATATTGCATTCACTCAGGCCCTTGGCTTGACTAATGCCCGGAAAACAATTCCGAAGGAGCAATATCCCTTTGGATCTACACGGGTGTAAACGCCGCGTAACGAGAAGGTCGTAATACCTACATGCGTGACTTATCTCCCATACACTGCCGATTCTGTGACCCGAACTTCTGAGCGACTTCGGAGACCGTTATCTTCCCATGAATGTCAAACCGCGCAAACGCCCTTTTGAGGTACTTTCACTTTTTCCCAACCTTTCTGCTACGGATGGTCGTGCGGGTGCATGAAGGTTGCTCAAACTTTGCTTGTAACAATAGCGCTGGGTATTCCGATAGGAAGAACGCTCCGTCCGCTGTGACATCGACTAAGGCACATCATGTGGCCTAAGAAGTTGTGAACCTCTCTGAGTCGAGCAGAGGGCGAACCGGAATACTTGGATACCGCATACATAGTATATAGTACGACATCTGCTCTACTCATTAACGCGTATCCCTCCTATCGTGGGTATAACTCTTAGATTCCAAGTAGGTAGTTAAGTGCATTCGTCAGCTAGCTTATGTATGAGGTTGCATAGTCCAAAGCTGCATATTGATTATTACGATGCATAGTTTGAATGGCGGTGTGATTCCTCATCATGAAATGATGTTGTTCAATCCAGGATTTCGTTATTGTCATAGATACTCGACTTCGCCTTCAGCATTGCTGCATGACGCCTGGCATGGCATTTCGCATCTTGCTTGTGTAGAGGGTTGTATAGCATATTGCATTCGTTGCATTCAATGAATCCTTTATCCTCGATTGAAAGACTTAACGTCGTCTGTACTGTGGCGGGTTTGGAAACCTTCTTTATGCTCCATTCGCGTTTCTTGGTGTCTGGCTGAATATTTTGTTCTGTGGCCGGTAGGTTGAGTGTTGCCGAGGAAACCTCGGATAGAGTGTGTGGTGAGTCGGTGGACAACATAGACCCAATATCGACACCATCATTTCTTTCCTCTTCTCCATCCTTTTTTGTCGTCCCTTCTGTGTTTGATTCTTCCGATGCAGCTCGAGACGTTATACGAGTAGTGAGTTTTCGCCGATTCTTCCGCGGTAGAGTACGTATAGGAGGGGATGATGGAGGTGTATTTATGGGATCAACTGGCTCAGAAGACGGGTTCGATGAATTCAGCGCGCAACTGGATGATGATGACGAAACCACCTTGAAGTAGCTCATGATCGTGCCTTTTCTCATAGGCCGTATAGTAGGTAAAACAGGCGAAGAGGGAATGTTAGTATTACAGGGCGACTCTATTTCCTCATTGTTCGATATTGTAGCTGTGTTGATATTCTCAATGCATCGCCGTTTCGGGGTAGGTTGTAGCGGTTCATTCGTTGAAATGCGTTTTCCATATGTTCGAAGAACTCGACTATGAAAATTAGCGCCTAGATCGCATATAGATGTTTATAATATACTAACGTGCGTTGGGGTTTCCTCGCGGCTCTGTGATACTAACATTAGCACACCAGATACTCAATTGGATATAGATATGCGTACCTCGACTCGGTTTGTACCTCCGAGGTTAGCGAGTCCATGACTGTTAGCATGTAAAGATTACCCTTTCAAATCCAAATATAAAGGTGGTAAAATGAGAGGCACATGAATGAATGTTAAAAATGAGTGGGTGGTAGAGCCGATTCAATGCCGGATGATGATGATGCTTTAAAAAAAAATCCAAAGTGGAGGATAAATATTAAGATATCGAGGGAGACGCGTAAATTGAATTCCATAGATGGACGCGTCTTAAAAACGCGAATGTGGGGTACTTCGTATATGAAGTACATACCTAACCTACCTAGGTTAGGTACCTACATATTGTATCCTAAGATCCCTATCCCTACTCGACTGTCAGCAGGTGACTTCACCCATTTTGAAAAGACAATTTCATCCTCACAACTGCGCAAGACAAAATGATACTGGACCAATGTATTTATAATTTGGGTAAAAGGTAGCAAGCATGTTTTGCTAAACTTATGTTGGCCCTTTTGTCCTTCGACGGAGGTTCGTCTCGGATTCTATATTTTCTGGTCTAAGTGATTCGATAGAACCCTCCTTAACATTGTCGTCTTCTCCAACAACCCATGTCTGAACGATCTTCTTCACTTCTTTCACCTTCTTTTGCTGTTTCTCCCCTTCTGCCATCCTCCACGTGTAAGCAGAATAGACAGCAACTTCAGCGATAGCAACGATGATACTACCGCCTAGACTTAGAAATAGTCGTGCTGGAACACTCCACCACCTGGCAGCTAACCAGAGCGCAGCACCGCAGCCGAATATGCTAACTAGGAAGTTGATGACCAGGGTTATCTGCTTTTGTATATCACCATGCTCGATGTCTTCGCCTATGTCCGAAGCCCTAAAAGGTCGATTGACTTCAGCGAACGAATGCGCTATGGGACCTGAGGGAAACCTTGGAGCAAATGATTCTCGTGGCGGAGCTTTCTTTAACATGCGTTCGTATGATCTTTCTTCTTCCTCGTGACGTAATCGGGCCATCAATGCTTTATACTCTTCAGTCTATGGGCATCAGGGTTAGTAAATATATATTAGTGATAAGGTATAAGGGACGGACCGGCTCTGGCTTCGGTGGCGGGGGAGGTACATAGACCATCGCACCTCGAAGTAATTGTTCCAGTCCTGTAGTATTATTATTCTCATCCTTGAGACGTTTCCATATGTCGACTATCTGTCCGTGGCTTATTGGTTTTCCAACTGAAGCATCTTTTAATGAAGGTTCGTCGTTGCTCGTTGAAATATCGTCAAATCCGGCTCTAAACAATTGATTGACTACCTCCACTATGGAGGGAGTCATGGTGAGGAGTACCATGTTATGAAATGGTGTTGAACGTGTTATTGAACATGTTATTGCAGAAAGAAGCTTGTGATAGAATAGAATGCGACGAACTAAATCTTTAGACCAAACAGACATGATTGAATTGCACCTGCCCCGGCACGAATCTAGCTGACATCAGCAATATACATAGCTCCAGCCACACATGAATATTACTAACAGCCACACCCGGTTTAAGTGAATTTTTGATCTTGTAGTCAGCATCAATTGACTTGGGAAGAAAAAAAAGAAGAAAAAAAGTAAACCTAACATGTTGGGTGTAACCTCTAGCTCCCATACACTATATTACTATATCACCAATGCTACGACCGCCTAAAATACAACTCCCATAGACCAATTGGGCCCTTGGACTAACCCCAAGGCCAGGAAATCGAACATTATGCAGCTCCGAACAGGAGCTTCAGTCCTCTCTAAAGCACGCACAGCCGCCGGACCATCTTCAGTTTTTTCGCCATGCTCGGATTGCCGGAGAGCGATATCTTTAGATGTTAGGATGCGTATATCCAGATCTCTATACCACAATAGTCCCAGAAGATCCTCAGCATGGGCAGCTGCAGTTTCCGTCGCCTCAAATTTGGTCTCTAAAGCTGTTACTCGAGCTACCAAGTCCGAATTACCCATAGACCCGCTACGGGTTGTCGCCAAGGAAATGAAACATTTAACAGGGAATATACGGCAGCTTTTGGGTTCAGGCCATCCTTCTTTAGATCGAGTCGCAAAATATTACACACAATCCGAAGGAAAACACGTGCGGCCTTTAATAGTTTTACTTATGTCAAGAGCTACTTCATTATGTCCTAAAGCTCCAGAGTCTTCGTCGCCACAGACACTACCTATCACGATAGACTCTTCAATATCTCCCCTCAGTGTCCTTGCCGATGCCAACCCCTCTTCACCCCACGCCGACTTCTCGTCGCAACCCGGCTCAGATAGCGATGTCCTTCCCTCCCAGCGCCGGCTGGCCGAGATTACAGAACTCATTCATACCGCATCACTCCTTCACGACGATGTTATAGACCATTCTGTCTCTCGTCGGGGATCTCCTTCCGCCAACTTCGAATTCGGAAATAAGATGGCTGTTTTGGCTGGCGATTTTCTTCTGGGAAGGGCCTCTGTTGCTTTGGCCCGACTGCGCAATGCCGAAGTTGTGGAACTCTTAGCGACGGTGATCGCAAACCTAGTTGAAGGCGAATTCATGCAGTTGAAAAACACTGCGCGCGACGAGCGAAACCCCAAATGGTCCGAGGAAATATTTACTTACTACTTACAAAAGACATACCTTAAGACGGCTAGCTTAATTTCCAAATCGTGCCGCGCAGCAGCACTTCTCGGTCGAGCAGATACGGCTACTGTTGAGTCTGCCTACTCCTACGGAAAGAATTTAGGTCTCGCATTCCAATTAGTAGATGATATGTTGGATTATACCAAATCAGGGAGCGATTTGGGAAAGCCTGCCGGAGCCGATTTAGAGTTAGGCCTTGCGACTGCGCCTTTGTTATTTGCGTGGAAGACGACACCCGAATTAAGTGTATTGGTTGGGAGGAAGTTTGGACAAGAGGGCGACGTGCAAAGGGTAACCACACTACCGACCATTATATTGCAGTCTGATATACTAACTTCGTATACAGGCACGGGAGCTAGTCTACCAAAGCGATGGGATCGAGCAGACGAGGGCACTCGCAGAGGATTATTCACAACAAGCTATCGCAGCCCTTAAAGACTTCCCGGATAGCGAGGCGAAAGATGGCCTCATAGAAATGGCAATGAACACGTTAAAACGCCAAAAGTAATACTATTTAGACCTGTATTATCACCCGAAAACGTAATGGTATTAGATGGTCGTATAGTTGGGCACCGTTATAGCCGTATTTAAGACATAGCCGCGGCGAATGGCCTTTATTACATCAATCTGTAGAATTATGGGCTTCATGTATAGACAGAACCACCAAACTCAGCATTGGAAATTAGGCGTCCATTCTTCGGAATCACCCCCCACACCATATCTTCCTCCGTCCTCGTGAGACTTTACCAAGCGCTTGACAACGTTGGTCTATTTATTTATAATTCTTACGGAACATGGATGAGTGCTGTTCAATGGCACAGATCGCCGCAAGACCACTACGATGATAGCTCATCTGCAACCGAATTTATACAAGTTGCGCGCATTTGAGTCGTGGCTTTACAACACATCCAAACGCTCAAGCATTCTTCTAATCCACCGTCGCCTAAAATGAGCCTGGTATTGACGAGCTTGACTCCCCGCTAAGTCCTACCACATATCTATCACTTTGTCGTATTATTTAATATATCTTCGAATTCAGCGCCTACGATATATTACTACTTATGAGGACTACGAAGAATTATTCTAATATCCGAATACCATATAGTTAGACGTAGAGCAGCGCGTAAAATATGGACGTCTTTTAGCTTAGCTGCCAATCTAGAATCAACTCCAAGTTCGCCTAATTTCTTCTCAAGCCACAGCCAATCGACCTATAGCGGGATATAATTCAAAGTTCTGCCCGTCATGATACTTTGCACTGCACCGGGGATAGAAACGGCGGATCTCCCTAAGACGAGAGTCTTGGCGACCTTGGGTGATAGACTGTAGCTAGCGATGGCAGCTGCACTGTTGGAGTTATGCGTGCTTCTTCAAAAGGCGGCGGCAGGTAAATATGCTCGATAATCTCCAAGGATGTAGCTATCGCCTTCGAACTCGCTCTCGTGCTGCTCAAAGCTCCTGAATCTAACCCTACCTAAAACATGAGTGTTAACAAGGCTATCGTAGTGTGCTACCTTAAGATAGTGACTCGTAGGTGATAGTGAGGCCTAAAATTTACAACAGTTCATCTTCAGGAATAGGAGGAGTCCAATTATTTTGTTTAAGCAGGGCTTTGATACCCGAGTTCTCGGGTAAGCACCTAGCTAACCTCCACGATCATACTATAGCCGATAATAGTCCACAAAGCTTCACCTAGGCCCATAGCTACATGAATCACACCTCTTACTGAGAGGGGGCCCTATTGAATAGATTTCTCCATGTCTTTATACACTCCGATATCTCCTTAAACAACTTCAATATGGTTAACTCACTTAAGAAGATCTTCTACGAAAGCTTTGGCTTCCAGTACTCTTAAGCCAGATCATCCAAATAGACCAGGCTTCTCGCACGACGTGAGATCAACTATTTCGATATACTTTGCCCAAGACTGCCCAAGCATCTAACTATAAGGTAGCCCTTTTTAGGTGAAAACGTAATCAAGTACATTCGCGGCTTAACGAATGCGATCTGCTCCATTTTGAAACGATGCCGGTATCTCATCTATATATATACCTAATGAGAGGTACTAGAATGCTCGAATGATCTCAGATGCACTGAAGGTTTTGATAGGGGCTAGCTAAGAGGCTTTAGTCGATATCTTCCAACTAAAAATACTTGGTAACTCGTGCAAGGTAGAATCTTCTAAAGAAGCGATACAGTCCCTTGCAAGGAAGCGTATTGGAAACTTGGATTCGCACCGTCTGCTTTGTGACGAGGCTTTTATTCGAGATGCGTGGTTCTGATATACTTACAAAATCTTTGTTCGTGTCTTTACCACGCAAGTCTCAAACAAGTCTATAGAATTTCTCGATCCTATGGCTAATGTAAGGCAAAATAACCGGTTCGCTTTTGAAGCCTTGATATCCCGCCAAGGTTTTATATAATCGTATACCGATGGTCCGTTATCAGTACTCATCTGGGGGGGATAGGGGTGAGTTAGCTATTATGGATTATTCCATATTGATTAACTATGTCTATAACTGCGAAACTTAGCTCGATAATTTCCTATATCATCTCACAAGTAAGCCTCAGGGTATTGTGAACGTGTAATCATATCAATTGCCCACAGGTAGTCATCGTCTGAATTATTGTAAACTCGGATTTGTCGTGACGAACTAAGGTGTCTGATTGGTGGAAAGGCCCTGTTGTCCAGGGACCCTCGTAGTTTATCAGTCATTACATATAAGCAGACTCACCGACTAGCCCCGCGATGTTCAGCTGTAGTAGTACGGGTAAGGCGGTTCCTAGGAACTTAAATATTCGATTTGTTCTTGGCGCGTTGGCTGTGAAAGATTCGTCCGTGAACGATTATGAACTGGCGATAGAGAAGAGGGTTGATTGGTTCAGCTAAGCCTTCCTGAAGCTCCCCATGCAGATATAGCTCTGCCCTATCTTACTTATGGAATCATTATTCCCCATATTCTGTGATGACGCCACGAGAAAAAAAGTTCACTACAGGTACTGTAACTTCACGAGCTGCACCACCGTACCACCGACCATACATACATTTCCATTTCCATGTAACAGGGGCTTGGATACCTAGGTGCGTCTGCAATAGTACACAGTGTTGCTTTGACGGTAATGCGAAACTATAGATACCTTAAACTCTTCAATATCTCCATTTTGGACCTGAGTAGCGAACCATTAATCCGTGTAACACTTCTGGGGCCGACTTGGGGACGAAATAATATAATATGTTATAGAGTAGGAATTTATTCAATTCGAAATAGTCAAGGTATTCAAGTGTCTATAGGGAAGCTGTTCACTCATTAGCCCTAGTGGGCGACCTCCCATTATCTTAAAACCCCGTAAGTCATACACACATGCGGTCAGCAAAGCTAGGGTAGCATTGGGGGTCCAAAGTAGAATAGTTCACCACCTAATATAACGAACAGCCCCCCCCCCCCCCCCCCCCACCCATGGACAGCAGCCTCGATAGTGGAGTGGCATGCATGCCAGTTCTGTACGTAAGAAACGATGCTATGTTAGCTTATGCAGGTATTCTTCTTCGAGAAGGAATAATATGTAAGCTTGTCACCACTCGTCTACTTCTACACTCTTGCTTCCCGTGTTTATGTCTTTGGGTATTTTCTCTCGGCTACTCTATCATGAAAACTCAATATACTAATAATTCTACGCCGAGCAATGTCATACCAATTAGGTCCGCAACAGGAATCACAGCAGCAAGGGGCCTACGGTGCATACAACACGCATAATCATAGCAATGGGTACGGGTACGGGTACGGCCAGCAAGCTTATACTCAACCGCATCAGCAGCAATATAACATGATGCATTCTCAATCGCAAACTTCATCACCGGCGAGTTCTCCTCAAACAGTATCAGCGACGGTATATCACCAAGATGGCACCGCACGTACTCAGACGTGGGTCTCTAATCAACAACCTATGAGGTCACCTCTGCCGGTGGCTAAGACATTCTCTGGCGAATGGGCGGGTTCACCCGAAAATACGGTTGACTACCGAACACTAAGGGGTTATTCTCCAACGATGCCATCACGACCCCGGAAGGAGGATCGGAGAATATGCGGCATTAGGCGGAACACGTTCTTCATTGTTTTAGCCATCGGGTTATTTTTGCTAGTCGTTGCCATCGCAGCTGGTCTTGGTGTCGGTTTGGGGACGAGAAAAAGTAGTCCCGTCGCTGTATCTGCCGAAAATTCAAGGTGTGTTTCAGTTTCTTTCGGTGCTATTTTCACTCGGTCATGAAATACCTGAGTGATCGCATGCTGTGGGACGTAAGATCATCACGAGAGAGGCTGTAAGACGCATACTCTGCTCACGTCAGCCGGACGAGCCATGACCGATGGTGATTCGAGGAGCCAGATATTTGACACATCAATGCGTCGTCCAATAGATGCCAAATAACTAACACATATTTCCAGCAGTGCCGTCTCGTCATCGTCATCTTCATTCTCGTCAGTATCGCCGACGTCCACTACGCCAACGTCGACGCCATCATCCACCAAGGTATCGCCGACGCCAAGCTTCACGGGAACCTTGATACCGGGCCCTGTGATCTGCCCGCAGAATAATAACACGGTGTATGTATCGCGGGGCAGTTCTAAGCCGTTCAACGTGCAGTGCGGACGCGATTATAACTCAGACGGTGGCGCGGAAGACTTGACGCACATGTATAAAGCCAGCATGTCTCAGTGTATCGACGCCTGCGGTGACCATCCGGGATGCGTCGGTGTAGGCTGGGGTAATTATGAGGGCTCGACTGAGTGCTGGTTAAAAAGTAAGCTCGGTAAGCCTAACTCGAGTCCTAATTGGTATTTTGCGCAGTTACAAGATATGGACCTTGCTGGGTCTTAAGAGAAAGTATACCGTGTTTTTAGAGTAGAGTCCCAGCATTTATATGGATGTTGTAGAGAGAAAAGGGGATAACGGTGCAACTGAGGCCGGTTGGGCTTTTCTGAATTTAAGCGAGGCGTCTAGAGTCGGGATTCCTGTATTGTTATTACCCACCAATAGGTGCTGGACTAGGGATTAGATGGTAGTAGGTGGGACTATGGGTGTTTAGAGATGAGCGCTTAAAGCCTTCATGATACCTTTGATACCCGTGTACTATCTACGATCCTAGGCGTTACATACGAAAGAGGTACCTGTTAGTGAAGCTGGAAACTTTACAACTACATGTGTCTTCATACCTTTAGTGAGACAATTCAAATGAATTCTACTTTAGTTAGCGGGCAAAACAAGGTTATTTGCTCCATGGCTAGACGGCGACTTGAGAAATTATCGGCGATGCGTTCATAGGACCATGGGATCATTCCGCATCGTGGTAGCCTGTGGTTCAGGGCTCGGTTAGCTCGAGGATAACCGGAGTTATATTATCGGCGACGTTTGAAGCGTCCAAGCCGTCGGTATCCTCTCAAATATAAACTCGGGCTTCGAAACAATGAAATTTAGGTGTTCTGTCGCTTAATAGTTGAAAAGCGGTAGGTGGCTAAGAAGATCCCCCTGCGCAGATGAGGCATAGACAATACAGTAAGACATGGCTGAAGAGGCGATAAATACATATAGGCTTGAAACGAAATGTCGGTGAGCTCAGCGATCTAACCAACATGCCGAGTAGCTACTAAGTGAGTTCGTGAAACTTGGTTTAGACCATGAAATATCATGTTACGTGAGAGGTCGGCGAGCTATAGTGCATATACATCCATATTCGGCGACTTTCCTCGTAAGCTTTAACCTTCTGGGTAATTGGTAAGGCTCGGCCTCTACGGCATCTATTAAAGTACCTGTTAGGTGGCCGATATGAGGTTGTGGGTATCGAAGAAAGAATGCAATTGGAACGGGCATTGTTTTTTTTTTTTTAAAAAAAAAAAAAAAAAAAAAAGAGGATTCCCGCCGGCAACCTTTCAAAAACCCCGCCACATTTGTCGTCAATGTTCCCACCCGGGGATCCATCGGCCATGATATTAGGTCCGGTGAACCAGTGGGGATGGGATGGGGATCTGTGCTAATACCTAAGTAGACTTGGGGAGGAGTTCTTTGAAAAGGGGAAGCCGCATAGAATATTGACATACATGTAGCTACCTACATATCTACCTAGGTACCTATGTAAGTCACTTTCTAGTTGAGATATTTAGAAAGAAATATGTTAAGAATACCCCTTGACATTGACATACCAACCTAGGTGCGTACTAAGATATAAAAAGAAAAACAATTAATAATTGCCACATGTTGGGAATGTAAGTAGGTATGTTACTCGGACGCGTGAAGCAATAATAGACATTCATAAGAGAAAATCCCTTAGCAGGCCTATTGATGTGATCCATTAAGACTACACTCTCGGGTCGCAAGTCCATCAGTCAGACCAGCGCCACTAGGCGTCCCCCAAAACGCCCTCAACCATCCTATCGGGTCCTGCTATGCTAGTCATACCCAACTTCTACTTGATTATTATGGCCTTATGATCGAATCTAGCGCATGGCTGGCGTGTGCCAGTTCGCTAATTCTGCCTAGCATCGCTGTGTCGATCTCATGTAGGTTAGTTGCTAGTCCTTCTAACCATGCCGACTTTTCGATTCTACAGGTGAAGAAAACGTGTCTGATGAACGGCGACCTGCTCCGCCCCGCCCTGTAAGCAAGATGCAGGTCTATTGGGCGAATATACATGCTTCTCTCGACGCTACTACGGCTAAGCTTTTACTATATCATCTATGTTAGGCGCTAAAATACGAGCAAAAGGCCCGCCGCTGTGGAAGCACCATCTATCATTATCATTCTACCAACGAGTACCTAGGTTAGGCAATTACACCATAGCTCAAATAGATATAATATAAGCATTACCCATCTGTGTCCAATCTTCTGCGAAATATTTTAACGCGCCAAAGGCGAATGGGCGTATACGGCGAGAAAGAAAGACATTTTGTAAGTACATCTATGTCCTGGTTATCATCAAACCATCATACCTCATTCGTCGAGCCTTTTTTTTTTTTTTTTGGCCTTTATTTTCCTATCTTGCCCATTTGCCGCGCCTCCTTCTCAGCCTATAGGTTACTGCTGAAGTCTGCAGAATTAACAATTTTTCTTAACCCTCACCACGCAGCTTACCATTAAAAACCCCAGATCTTCTTATATATACCCAGTCTGGACCTACAATGGCGCAGATAGACACACATTCACGACCGAATCCTTAGTGAAACGGATGGTACTCGACTGTCTTGACTTTATCACAATGCCGAATAGAGCAGTCAATCCTCATTATTTCAAGGCGCACTCGGCGCGCTTGTGAGCATAGTGTTGATCTCGGACATGATGCCCTCGTCGGCCGCCATGCTACTGATAATTTCTTCCTGCGTAAACCCGACCCAGAACGAAGGGTTATTCTGCTGCGCCCTCTTAGTGCGGTAGATCTCCTGTGCGACGCCCTTGACTTGGCTTGACGCTGTACTGGCTGCCTTCCAAACCCCGCTGAGCTTATTTAGAGCTCCGATATTTAGTCGGATTCGTTGTCGAAGTTCATCTTCGTCTTGGATGAAGTACTCGAGGGCCCATTTGCTAAGATGGACGATTGAGGAAAGGGTCAGCACACACGTGAAAAAGTGCGTATGGCTAGTGATGGGCACGTTATACGTAACCATCTTGCTGATCTCGCATGAGGCCATGATGATATGCCTAGTGTGGATATTGAAATGGTCACCACTCTCGACCGCCCGATGTGGAGCGCAAGCTGTTACTTCACGCGCCGGCGATGAATCTAGCTGTGAAAGCGGCTGGTGCAACATTATCGAGCAACTGCACAGGCCAACTTGTTAGTATAGACAGTTCCGCGAGGTTGTATGGTATCACTTACGCATGATTAATCATATGTGCTTGGAACATCATCTCGTCTGGCTGGCAGTTCTTGTTCAGACTGTGCTGCTTCGACTGCGGTAAGTGCATCCTCCAGTTAGAAAGCAACGTTTCGATCTTGTTTACATTCTCGTCGCTTGGATAACCGCTCAGCCGCATCATGCGCCCGAGGTTCCTTATGGAAGCAACACGGTAGGCGAACGAGGAGAACTCTCGTTCTTCTCCAGAGAAAATCTGATCGTCGAAGTCCTCTAAATACATCGGGCGTGGGATATTCTATCAGGATTTGCTTGTTAGCTAATGGATTCTTAGGTGTCGATGCTCATCAGAATATGAACGTACTCCTGTCGTGTATTCATGTTCTTCGCATGGAAGGCCAACATCAGCCACGATATCAAAGAGGAGGAAATTTGTGTGACGGTGCACTCCGGCAACCATTCCGTCTACAACGAATAAGTCCCACCACGTCCGTCGCCAACTCTCTTCTAGCCTTGGGACACCGCCTCCGTGCATCGTGGCGTAAGCCCTCGTATAGAGGCCTATTTCTATGGCGATCCGCTCAACGTCGGATAGAATTTCGCGTGCCTTTTCCTGTTGGCAGTTGCCGTCTAGTCCTATGAGGATGATGACCATGGCTTGAACCAGGTAGCCATCCTTGACAACGTTCGGGGCGTAAACCAAACGCATAGCCTCTTCGAAAAACGTAGCACGAGAAGGACCGGCGTCAATATATAAAGACCCAACCCATCTCATCGCTGCGAGCAAGTGATTAAGATCCCTCTCTTTCGACATCTTGAGCAGGTAGTCCTTCGATAGAACAGCAGGGTGACCAGGGTAGAAAAAGTAGTAGAATGCATCGATACAGCGCTCCGGAACCGTCTGCGGTCGCGAGTTTGCCTCTACCAGAGAACCATTGGTACCATTAAGGTAAGGGTTTCTGTACAATTGAAGGCCGTTCATGCCAGGGGGTGCAAATGGCGTTGCGGGTGACTCGGGGATTACCATAGCCGGATTAAAGGTCGCTAAGCTCGGAGGCGCAGCGGTTGAAACCGTCGCACCCAGCAGCATCGGACAACTATCGCCGGCGGCGGACGGCGGAGAGTCAGTTGCATGACGCTTATTTGGGTTTGAGACTGCATTCTTTCTTGGTCCTTTATAACCGCGACGAGAAGCCACGTAGACACATTCGGATTCTGATGTTTGACAGCGCGAGCATGGATACTTCCCATCGCACTTTAGATGCTTTCCTCTCTAGATTCGCAAAAAGATGTATCAGTTAGCATAATAGCTTCATTGTAAAAACCATCATTTTCTAGACTCACGCATGCAAGACAAGCGGCCTGCACAGTATTCGGGGGTGACGCCCGTGAATCGACAGCGCCCGAGTCAGAGGGTACCGATGTTGAGTGGGGTGGCTGATTGAGTATTTCCGAGCCATGACCATGACCATTTAATAACGCGGTGGGAGATGGATTTGAGATCGAAGGCGCAACGCTGGGCGCGTGCGTGTAAGACTCCATTGGAAGCGGGTTCTTATTTGACTACGGACCGACGGGAAGGTACTAGAGAATCGGCGACTCTTTTTTTTGTTTCTCTTTTTTCGAAAATAAAAATGCCAGGCTGTAGTAAGGTAGGTGAACGGGGGGTTGTAAATGATATCGAAAAGTCGATGGCGGCCGATGAGCAATTGGATTTAAGTGGCCACTGCTGCCACGACCTGAGATACTATACGGTGACGGGTGCTTCCTCTCTATTCTTTTTTTCTACCGACACCCCTCCTAAGCAGACAGGCTGGACTGAAGGTATCAGATTATTCTGTTTAAGAAACTATAATCAAATATGATAGATGCCGAGCGAGCACGAGTTTAGTTCGGTATTGGCGGGTCGTCTGGCTTTTTCACATTCGGTCCATGAAATGAAATAAGAATAAGGCTTAGCGTAAAGGGGTTGCTGGCAGTTCCCAAGACACTTTAAAGACGGTCTTGAAATCTAAGTCGTTAGAACCGGGACGTATACTCGCAAAGAAGGTTCGAGACGAAGATTCCGGTACCTAACAGTGATGTTGAAAGAGGAATTGGGGAATATGTAAAGTAATTAACAAGCAGCAGCCATTAGATATGTACAACAATAGGTAACGAAACTATACAGGGGGTGGGGTGTTGCTGAGAGGTATCTGTCGTGATAGTCGGAAAGGTTTTATTTTTTTTTTTTCAATCCATTCTTCTACCTTGAACGAGATTGGTGAATAAGAAAAAATTGGACGAATAGATTGGCAGAACTCGCTAACGTCCTTCGATCGAGGTGAGGGGTTCAGAATTCGCGATGGCGTTTCGCTATGTCCAACCCCATGCTGGGTATGCAGACACACAAATCAGGGACCTAAGGTAAACCTGACAGATAGGTACATAGGGATTCTGTTTATGAATACCTACATACACCTATAGTGTAATAAATCAGGAAATATTTTGGACGGCAGACAGGGATAGCAAATTCACTAGCATCCCGCTCGTTGCGATGGGTCTTTGTACCAGCCGAAGCTCAGCTATTCGAGTTCAGCTCCATACCTACACATAGATCCAGGGTTGTCACTTATCGTCTGGTGCATTGATTTTTTTTTTTTGGTATCTTCTGTTAATATATCTCTGCTGAAAAACAACCATGCTCATAACCATGCTCATAACCATGCTCATAACCATACTCGATTGGCTGCCGGCGGCGGACGAATCCCCACAAGTGGCCACCAGCAACGAGTAGGGCTGTTCCTAGCAAATGGGTCTCTCGTCATTTACCAGTCCGCTACTGTGTACTATTGCGCTCTGTACCTTGCCAGCCTCGACGCTTCGAACCTGCTAGCGTGCCTAATACGATTAATTATCACACGCAAGGTATCGAAGTGGTCGGATGTTCGGAAATAAAAGCCTCTATACCTACATTACGCATTACGAATATGTACCTAAGTGTGCGTGCATAGGTATCACAATAATAATTCTCTATCGCCGAACTCAAGCGCCGGGTCCAAGTGGTTTGTTACTCGTCAAAATATCAAACAGCATCTCGGCTTGATAGGAGAGTACATATTTGGACGCAACGATGCATCAGCTAGTGAGAAATTAGTGGAATACTAGAAATTGTGGAAATGACAAGTCATTTGCGCTAATCTACCACCATGGGTTGTATGTTAGGTAGGTAGGCTGTAAGCTCTGAGCTGTACATTATGTGGTGGTGAAAATAGTGAAGGTTGCATAGCAGAGGAACATCTGAAGAGTGCCTAAAGCAAACAGCTGTTATTAATATTTGAAGCAGGCTACGCAGCTGCTCATTTCGGCCTGGCAGCTGCGTTCTACTCTAGTCCACCCCGTATCTCGGGTCGCACAATGGATCCATCGCAGTAACTGCGGGTCATGACATGGATATTCCATGCCGGCCTTAAATACTTGAATATTAAATACTTGAATATCAGGTACATTTTAAGTATTTCCTTTTCCAGTTTAGCTATAGTATAGGTTAGGTTAGGTAGGTATTTAATACCTAATATATATAACCATTGTACCTCTCTAAGGCCTCAATCTGCGTCTTTATTGTTTAGTACTTTACAACCCCCCTTTTCTCGACCTTGATCCAATCCGTGGCATCGTCCCCTATACAGTTCCATCTTATCTAATGATACCGATTCCCGGACCCCGGTTGATGCTATGCAAATCTAGCGTATTATCAACGACTACTTCCGCTCATCATCAAATTACCTATTATGTCCTCTAGGTTTATAAACGACTCGTTACGAATTGTTTAATTATTATTGGATCTAGCTAATTCTCGGGAATCAATGTTACGTGACTTATTTCCCGGGTTATACCTATGTACGAACCTGAGATACCTCCCACGAAAGTGTTCACATACATAGTAGGCATTCTACTGATACATACGCAAACAAATAATGGTATGGCAGTATGATCTCAACCATACTTAAAAATTTAGATACTCAAGTGATGCCATATGAGGAAGGACTTGATAGCTTGGCGCGTGAGTGTGTCTATTAGCTAGCATTCAGTTGAGAGACTTGGCATTCTCATGCTCCGAATTAACCGCTGTGTTTGATGTTGTAGAAATTGTGGTGCTACGATTACTTATACTTCCGAACATTTTCATCTTAATTTTATAGGCTTGATTCGTACATCCCATTCATTATTCGCAGATATTTCCGACTTGCTCGGCGAGTTTTCTTGACTCTACCCCTTATTTTTCAGCCCCTATTATTCCTTGGCAGGTCGTCGAGAATAGCTAGCTAGGCTATCGTTGGTTCCCGATCCTCCGGTTAACGAGCCTCCCTTAATACTGCTGAGAGCTGCTAAGAAACTTTATATTTGATTCCTATGGGTGTTACTGTGTCTCGCTTGCAGTTCAGTCTATTGAATTTCAAAACTCCCGACAGTTAATTAAAACTTGTATGAATTATTCCGATCCCATAGATGTCACGCTTATAGATTACAGGTAACTACCTAGGCTAGGAGTAAAGGTAGAAAATGATTCCATAGCATGGAAGTTTTCAGATATAGTCAGTTAGATGAACGACCGAAGAGACACTAGAGGTCTATCTTAGAGAAGAAACTTCTCGAAACTCACACCTGATCGAAACCATCTGACGGGAATCGTCGGGTACTAAAAGGTTAAGATGATGGACTTCCATAACATGGTTAGTCAAATCAACTATTCAACAGCCTCGACATCAAAACAAATGTTGATTCACATACCGATAGCTAACCTATGTCCTTCTCCCTTAAACTAACATATGCCGCACCATGCCATGCCATCCTATACCTTGTTTAGCGTCCGTATCATTTCGATTGCTGTACGGCTTGCTCTCCTACCGCCGTTGCCATCATCGCCCGGCGTTTAGATAAATGAAACCTAGACGCTAATGTAGGGCTACCCCCATCCCCGGACTCGCTATCAGATCCCATACTGATAGATGAAGCCGATCTTGCGAGTGATCCCGAAACACTTGTCTCGCTACCGCGATCACTTGCGGTATCATCTTCGTGCGCTGCCTCCGTAGCCTCTATATCTACGGTATCTTCTTTCTGTGTCTGTACGAGTAACTCATTCTGCTCTTCCTCTTCGTCGTCTTCGCCTTTACCTGTCTCCCACATCTGCCTCAGAGTTAGCTCCTTTATCTTGCTTCGCACCGCTGCGTCAAATTCGAATGGCGCTGGCTTGGCTATGAGCAACGGCGTGTAGTCATTCCAGTGCACGGGTATTTCGCTACCGTCTTCCCGGTATTTTTTCCGGAGATTGAAAGCCCACACCATCCCGCCCATCGTCAAGAATAGATCTTGCTCTACGATTGGAACGCCTTGGCACGTGCGCTGGCCGAAGCCGAACTGACTGAATCCGTTGAGGTTTGGGTACACGGAAAGCGGCTCCTTATAGGTAGGGTACTTTGGTTCTAGCCACCTAGAAGGATTGAACGTATCCGCGTCGGGATATACGGACTCGTCGCGGGTAATAGCCCTAATTACGAGTTAAAAGATGATATTTTAGAATATGGCTAGCTTAGGCTCACCACTCTAGGGCATGAATAGTAGCACCGGCAGGAATAAAGTAACCGTCATACACATCGTCGTTTTCTATCGCATGTGGAATTCCTTCTAAGCGTCAGTGAACAGCACGTTTAATCGAGGTGGGCGACCTACCTGTCGGAACCGGGGGGCGCCACCGAACCGTCTCCTTCACGGCCGCACGAAGCATCGGTAACTTTTCACGATCTTTCCATTCGGGGCACCTTCCTTCGCATACGGTATCGATTTCATCTTGGAGTCTTCTCTGCCAGTCGGGATAATGCAGCATGGCAAGTATGAAGCTCTGGATCGGACTTCCAATCGTTAAGGCTCCGGCGATGGCCATTTGCCCGACAACATACGTGGCTTCAGCCTCGTCACCCCATTTACTCTTATCGTTCAGGCCGCTAGGTTTGTTTATGAATGTATGAACGAAACTTGGTTCGGCGGTCCCCTCACTAATACGGTCGTGTACGTACTGAACACTACCCTTCAGAAGTCCAGCTTCGAGTCGATGTCGGGCATTTTCTTTCTGCTTCCACGGACTTATGAATCTAGGTATGTGCATAAGCCAGGGTACAGCGTTAGGTAGGGCGCCTGTAGGGGAGATGGTTTCGAGGAGACCGGAAGTCGTCACTCGCAAAAGTTGGGCGGGATGGGGGCTACCCCAGGAGAGCCGCGCTACCGTGCGTGATGTGAATTGCTCGACGTATTCCCGATATTGTGACGGATTTCGTGATAGGAGATATAAGAAGCGATCCCGTTCTTTTGTTGGGTAAGCATATAGCGAAGCATTAGCCGTCACGCTCATCAACTGCTGGCAGAGCTTCCGCTGGCGTTTCCAAGTAGCTATATCGCACGTCAGTGAGGAACGGCCTTTTATCATTCTGTGCCTACCTACCGTTATGCCCAGACAGCGCAAGATAGTGTCCGCTTGTTCGATTATCAGGAAGGTTAGGAATCTGTGGCCGGTCTGAGTAGTTGCGTGCCCGCCGCGAGAGCAGATCGACCGCGATTTGTTCCGATGAAATCCAGACGTGGACCGTACCAAACATTTTAGTCTGATATATTGGACCATACTCCTTACTCCATTCGTAGAACTTCAGCCACGACGAATTCACCGGAATATCGTGTACGCGGCCGACCAGAGGCAGGGCTATATCAAGTTAGAAGAAGGCACATCGTTGAAATAGGGGGAGATGAAGACTAACACTTCGGTCCGGGCAGTGGCCGACTATTAGGCGGGACCCTACGTCTGTTGTTTACCTTTTTCACCGCATGTACTAGGCATAGCAGTAAAATCGAAACTATAAGACAAGAAACCATAGCCATCGTTGACGTCGTGAAGATCCCTGGGAGTTGAGGCGATAGTATGAGAAGGTGAAGCCCAAGGACTTCAGCTAGGTGTTAAACCATGCTAGCAACACGTTTCCTCCTCGTGGTCTTATATGATAACTAACTCTGACGCCCGTACGGCTAGTCAACACACCTTCGTTAACATGATATCTCCAGGGAGAGCTTATCCCTTCTAAAGTGGACCCCATGGCCCTCAGCTCATGTGTAGTTTAATCAATAAAAGACCCCGCCGACGCGCTGTAGTTCATTCCGCGAGTGTGGCTTGGAATGTCTTGATTTAGCTTGTCTCACGACGCAGAACCCGAAGCTTGTTAGCAAATCAAGCTGAAGAATCCATAAATGGAGTATACTATAATACTGTAGCTTCGGATTAGCTACGAGAGAATGCTAGACATTGCATATTCATGTGAGATAAGATTTGACCATCCCAGGTCCAACCAAGCTAGTATTTCGAGACTCGTACAGGAATAGCTCACTTATATCACGCGGATTCCCACAGCCCGGGGCCAGACCTGCGCTTTTAAGACGAGAGCTCGAAAAAACTTATTCGTAGTGGAGGGTTACAGCACCTTAAGTCGGCGCGTATAAGGTTACGGTAGCCTCATAAGAGGGTTGCATCAAAGGGAGCCCCAATTGGAGTCCTAGTGGGATCTAAGAATTGGTTAGTTATCAATTTAGTCTTCGCGGAGAGGACAGAAAATGAAATGAACGTCATGGATCGTTCAACTGGTGATTATAGGCAGTAAAAGTTGTAACACCACCGACTTGATCTCGAATAATATGGTCTTATTAAAAATTAGCACGTGTGTAGTCTCATTACTTGCTAGTACACAACTCCCCAATGCTAGAATACACCTTGGCTAATGAGACGAGCTAGAGGCGAGTCTTAAGTTGGCTTACATCCATTGACGATCATCTAGACACATAATACGGACACGCAATGCCGAAGTGTGTTTCACGAGTCGTGATATCGATAGGACCACGTAGACTACCCCCTCGATATGCTCAGAACATATATGACATTAGGCTATTCGAGGTCAAAGACTACCGTTAACGTAACAGGTATTTGATGCCGATAGGGCTATATACTTGTCAAGTTCCTTCATCTTTCATATCTTCGGCTGCGCACACTATGGAGCAACAATTAGAACTATAAGCCAAAGCGCAGAAAGTGAATAATGAACGACGTTGATGCTATTCGAGAGCCACTAGCCTGTGCATCTGGGGTAATCGGCGAATGAGGCTCAGTAGTCCCGGGGAAATTCGGAAGTCCCCCATAGCTTAGATACGCCACGGAAACAGGCATATAGGTTGGTGGAATTCTTCATTAGCATGTGCATAGCTCATGAGGCTGGAAGCAAGGGACCTCCCACACATACCAGACCTTTGGATAATGGTTAACAGGGAATGCTGGCTATAATCAGTTAGCTGGAGATCTTTCGGCTGGATAGGTCATAAATCAGCTCAAACATGACGAATTTAATGTTTATTATGCGTGACCCCTTGCAAGCCCCTAGACTTCCCAGCACATAGCTAATACTAGCTAGCACGTGCAAGCCTTTGTGAACCCCGTATAGTTTTTATATCATGTATTCGGGCAGGATGCCAATCATAGGTTGGAACCTCGTGACGGTATATAGGTAGGTTGGATTCGTCCTGACCTTCAGATTAATAATATCGCTTCGCTAAGGGACGCTACATGTATGCTGAGGCTTGTAGCCGTCTAATACGAAGGGGCTATATGTAGGTAGCTAGAGACATTTCTGTACGTCCACCTCTTTTCTTTAGCTTTCAGGTGTTATTAACCTTCTAGGAGTAGGATTCGCCGAGACTTACCTGAAGTCGGCTTAAGAGGTGATGAGAGACCGATCTCAATCAATACTAACGGATAAAAGCATCATGCCTCCGTCCGAGTGTTAGTCAATCTCATCGCAATGCAGGAGAGTTTGAGTCTGGAAGCCGGTTGGGCGACCGTCTGTTCCTTGGGCAGACTATCGGCGCACGTTCGGGTCCGAGCATTATCAAATAACCATGGGGCGGTACTAGAGGTACTCATCACCTTAAAAGAGTGAGAGTAAAGTAGTGATGCGTCCATATCCCCGTCCATGTCCCGAAGCTTATGTTGTGCAACTTAAGGCATGCGGCTTAGCATCGACTATACCAGGATACTCTCTTTTATTGAAAAGTTGTTAGTAATTGACCCCTTCGTACTACCGGACAAGACATCCTTACCTAGGTACCTAAGGTAGGTAGCTGTAGTCTTAGCTAGGTATGACCATCTCGCAATATCTCATGCACAAGTTTCCTCGCATCAAGCAAGGCTTCCTCTAAATTCAGACTATCCTCCTAATATACCAATAGCAATATTTAGACCAAACTTAAGCCATAGTTCGTTAACCTCTTATACCGAGAAGTTATGTCCTTAAACGACACCTGCTAGGATTGTACCTCACCAGCACTCTCCTCTACTTCGCGAATTGAATGCGAAGCTGTGCACAGACATACTTCACAGATATGTGTTAGGAGGTAGGTACCTATATTCAGAACTACTCTTGTCAACATCTTTTCTGTACCTAGTTAGTTGAAATAATTCTTGAAGCGCTGTTTAATGACCACCACCTTGGCAACAAATATTGAATATTGAATGCCATTGGCAACTTAAGATTGGGCTTTCATCTTAAGAAGATCAGGCCTACCTGATCCCACGTGCTTGAAAGTCACCTACATTCTCCCCCTTTTTAATTTATCGTGTCTCACATTTCATCTTCAAATCGAAATAAGTAATCAGACAGGTTCTTTGATGTCGGCTGTCTTGTTTAGTTCCTAGTTTAGGTATGTATACCCAGTAGTACCGAAGTTATATTGCATTCAGTATTTGCGCGGCAGTACAACCTCCGCTCGTATCCGTAACGACCGCAAGCGAATGCGATACGCATTGTACATCGACAATAAAATAAAAATATCAGAGCATTCGGGTTTAGCAAGGGGAAGAAGATAAAGGCAGAGTGCAAATCATTAACTTGGATGAAATACGGACCAACAATTATCCAGGTCATGGAGGCACAGACCATCTAAACCTAGGATTGTATTGATACCGCGTCGCACCTATGCCAAACAGGTCATGCTCAATATTGTACCATGACGTAGAACGCATCTGGTGATCTTTGGCTGACATACGTTGAGAATATATGTACTTGAAGTGACCATGCTGCGTTTCCTCTATGTGATCGCCTTTATAGGCAAGTTGTTAGCATGCTATGAGTTTACTCGGACTCGGCCATGAACTAGCACTGTAGTAAAATTAAGACTTGTGTATGTGTGTTATGTAGTTCAAGCAATAACTAGGAGTACAACAACGGTGAAGTGCTATTTTGAAGGGCACGAGTGGGTATAATGAGCTGTGGCTTTCGTAGTCGGGTCATTCTGCAATTCTTGTCCTCACTCCGATCAAAAGCAGTATTCTTCTACATGCAAATAGATTCCCTGGGCGCCTGTGCCTTTATGTGCCGCGCGTTCGTCGCTCAGCTTCGCCACGTTGGTTCTCACTGTAGTCACTAAGGATTGCCCACCACATACTACAATGCCCGTTTCTCCCCCGGTAGCTTCAACAGCCGTCCTGATGAACTTGGCTACGTCCGGTCTTGACCCCAAATGGTGAATATGTGAGTCGGAGCTTGTCTCTGGGAGGTCCATACGCGACCTACCCATTAACGGCTGGACAATCCCTTCAACATTCACCGATACCTTTGCATCTTCGAATGTTTTCTTCTCGTGCGTTGAAGAGGTTGAAGAAGTTGAAAAAGCTACAGCGCCTAGTGTTCCAAGTTGCCCATCCCCAGTCACAGCGATATGAACGACTAATTCGATACCTACCGACTTTGCCTTTTCCATAGCCTCATGCAGACGTTCGTGGTAGAAGCTAACTTCCTCCCCCTGCTTAGCCGTCAAAAGAAAGTCCACACGCTTGGTGCATGACCTTTTCTTGGAGTGAAGCACGCTCTCCAGGATAGGAAGCGTATATGACGCCCCAGTCGATGCGGAAATCAGGACTAGCGTTTCGAAAATATCCCATCGAGGTGGATTTCCGTACGGGCCTATGATTAAGGCTGTGAGAACCTGCTTCTTTCCCATTGCTTCCTGTTTCCCCGCAAACTGCCTGAGCCGTTTGGAAAAGCCTGAATGAGACCGTATTACTAGTTGAATGCTGTTACAGATACACGTCTCTGGAGTCTGGTGAGCAGAAGCAATCGTGTACGGGTGCGCTTCAAACGGTGCTATTCTAGGTAGCCACAAATAGAGATGCTGCCCTGCCCTCCACTTGAAGTGAACATCCTTTATAGTGAGTACTGTTATAGACTCTCCAACCAGGGAAAGTTGCGTCTTGTGGCCAACCAACTGCCCGCCTTGACAGCATGAGCGGTCCGGGCGCAACTTAGTGTTCTGCCAGAACAAGAGACCGAGACGGAACACTCGATCGAAACAGAGGGCGGCGACTGCGAACCACACATTATACCTGGCACTTACAGGAACGTGAACGTAGACAAGCCATAAGAGTATAACAGCCGCCAAGATGTGTTGGATGACGAAAACCTCGTATGCTATGGATCGCAACGGCTTAAAGGATGTGATGTTCATCCACAGTAGAATTCCCCAAGCGCCAAAACCGTACTTGACCATGTTCATCATCCCAAGTTCAACGCCGACAATGTCGCTATCGACCCAGCCGGCGAAGAAGCAGAATCCATGTACGGTTGTGGTAATCAACATGGTCCGGGCTGCCCATCGGTGGAGCCAATTTAACTTCTCGTAGCTGGTCCCGGTGATCAGGGCGATGACGTTGGTTCTAGAGGCTAATATATAGAGGAAAGGCAGCTGCGTAACTGTTACCCAAGCATTGCGATACCCTAGCCTCTCCATGAAATTGACGTCTAGTATCACCGCATCTTTAAACATGATATAAATAACAGCGGCCCAATAGAGTAGGAGGAGGAGGATGTGGCCCATAGGTGGCGGTGTTAGCCATGACAAGTTTCGGATCGGAACGTAAAGCTGTGGGTAGCTTATCTCTCTACAGACGGCAGTTAGGGTCGCCCATAACTGCGAGCAGAAGCTCGTAGGCCTCGTAGGAAACCGCACTGAGTGTGATCTGGACCTGCGTAGTCTATACTTGAGGCTTAGTCCAACAGAGTAATATATCACCGATATTGCATGCAATTTAAAGGAAGTAGCTCACCTTGACCTATATAGGACAAAATTAATGGTACGGATTATGAGAAATAGGAAGACCACAGCTGCGACAAAATACCAGTAGCTTCTTGCATAGGCCTTGTTGATGGTTGTGATATCACCACCCAAAGACGCGCTACCCATGTCCATATCCATCATATCCATCATATCCATGTTCCCCATTACCATCTTGGGTGATTCCTCTTAGTCTTTGTCGAACAAGTATATCGCAGGCACGAATCAAAGAAAGTTTTAATAGTATGCGCAATGCGCAGTAGACTTAGGAGGTAGTTGTAGACAAAGCCTGGGCTATCGGTAGCCTTCGCACGAGACAGTTGGACATTGCAGATTCCGTATTGTGTTAAGATTCACGCAATGCCCTTTGGAAAAGTCCTCAGGGGATTATTACGCGAAATGTAAGAGGTAAGACGATAATTCCAAATTTTCGATTGTGTCGAGTCTGCTGTCGAGGTGTGCCTTGGCCTCGGGTAGGTAAGGTAGTAAGTAGAAGATGGGAGTTTGGGACGAGTGAGGGTGGATAAGACAAAAACAAAAACAGTGAATGGTCTGGATCAAATTAGATAACATAATCAGCCATTAACTATTGAATCAAGAAGGCGAACTAGGAGGTAGGTAAACCAGGTAGGTGGGTGAGCTTGTCAAGAAGGAAGTAGCATTAGTTATACGGAACCTTATACTTTAGGTAGGCTAAGGTACTTTAAGTAGGTACTTTCACATCTCAACTTTTCCTCGGCGCGGCGCGCTTGTTTGATAAGAATACGCAGGTTAGGATAGGTACCTATCTACACCCGCATATCTACGATATAGCTCACATGGTTTAATAAGGAATCACAACACAGATCTTTGTTTGCTATGGTCTAGTATCCTAGGTTAGTGACCTCTAGTGACACCTAATAAAGAGCGGTCTGCCCAGGTAGTACCAAAGAAGTTTGAAATGTCACTTCCTTCCGCCTCTGCCATACATCTATGAGACGCCCTGTCAAACTGCGCTTGATAACATCCAAGGTTGCATGATAATTATTATAATGGATAATGGAGCAGCGCGGGTATCGAAATCTAGATCAAGGACGTTTGGGGCTGGAGGCGCTAGTAGGAAAGGAGGGAGATAAACTGCCCTAAGCTGCCCTAATTGCTCCCTCTTTATGCCTGTAAAGCACGCTAAAGCGCTAGAATGTCGCCACAATATGCTCAAATAGCCTCAAACGGAAATGACTAAGACTATCAACCACTCAGAATGAGGTGGGGCAGGGCTTAGATGGACCGGGTTGAATTAAACCTCCCTGTAATTGGTGGCTCTATTCCCCTGTATCCTTGTAAGAAGACCCTGAGAACCAAGATGTGTTTTGCATGGATCCCCCACATCAACAGGAACAGCAAGAATAAAACAATATGATCTGGAAAAGACTTCTCCTTGCTTATTTCAAGTTGTGAAGGGGGATTTACTGTTTGACGTTATTTGGAAAACTAGGTACCTAATGCTATCATCAATTGTGTCATGCAATCGTATTTGAGTACATAATGTACTTGTGTTCACGACAACAGTATGTGTACGTGTTACACAAAGATAGGTACATAGGTACCTAGGTAGGTAGACAAGACGGGTAGGTTAGATACCTGCCTACCTAGGTAGGTATTTATACTATGGGACGATCTTGCTCTCAGGGTTGACATATTCTATTGTATTAAAAAAAAAAAAAAGAATCATCAGACGTATTTTCAGCTAGTAGGAAGAAACAAGTTCTGAAGCAGCGGCCGTACTTGACTTAAGTTTCTATGTACACAAGCCCAATGTTACACATGCACCTCAAACTGACGCTTCCCTGTGTAGGTACTCCATAAATTCAAAAGGTCCTTCCCAACTCTATCCGGGAAGGCCTAGGCTCGCATCTCTAGTGTATCCAGGTACGTGGAAAGAGGAGGAAGTAGCAATATACATGTTTGTAACCAGTGATAAATTGACGGCCCTTCAGTCTCTATCTTTACCGTTTCTCGGCCGAGTTGGTGATTCCAAGCTTTGTCCCATCTTCCATCTCCCATCTCCAATTTCTACCTACCACCAGTATCACAACTCGTCTTGTTTCTTGTTCTCTCTTCAACGTGATTCACTTACTACCTACCTACCTACCCAAGGTAGTCAGTCAATAGTTCGTCTTACCTATTGCAGGTTACATCAAAAGGTATTCCCCTGGCATCTCATTTCTCTTACCTCTCACACATTATTTACACATTCCTCCCGCATTCCCTTCTTTCAACCTCGACTTGAACCCTTGATTCAGCAAACTCTAGTAGATTCTGTTCTCGAAAACGTATCTGATCCTAATACTTCTATTAGTAAACCAACGGACTACAGCAAACTCTAGCCGGCACCATGTATCTCATGGCACTCATCGCGACGGCGATGTTGCTCTTTACGGGCATTACCAATGGCCACTTCACCGTAGAACACCCTCCTACCATCGGTCAGTTCGACGACGAAGCCGAGGGTGACCATCCCTGTGGTGGCTACTCACCTGATATCACCAAAGTCTCTACCACGGATTTCCACGTGGATGGCGATGTCATCGCCACTACGCTCACCCATCCCGAGAGTACCTGGTTGTATCGCATCAACATTGACCCCACCGCACAAGGCAACTGGACCGAAGTCTGGCCCATCTTTCAGCAGAGCGGCCAAGGCAAATTTTGCAATCCCCGAGTCACCATTCCTCACGAATTTGTTGGCAAGAAGGGTTTTATCGGTATTGTATCTCATGCTGTAGACGGATTTCTATACCAGGTAAGTAGTATCGATTGCGCCCCATATCAATGCTAGATCCTTCGTTTATCACTCTTGCTAATTTAACAAATTCAGTGCTCCGCTGTCCACTTCATCGAGGGAACAGCTACTACGCCTAGCGACTGCACCAACGGATCAAGCGTCACGACCAGTTGGATTTCTGATGATCAGCTAACTGCCAAGCTCAACGAGTCTACTCCGTCGTCATCTGAGCAGCACACTCCCAACTTTGCCGTCTCAAGTAAGGGAGGGGCGTTTCAGGGCTTTTGTGGCATGCTCACAATCGGCCTGATGGTTGTTCTAGGCGTAATGTTAACGGTTTAATGCCCATGGAAATGATTGGGGGGTAGGCACGCTCTTATTCTTCTCGGTGCATTGATTACGCAGAGCAAGATTACCTACTCTCATGATATCCTTAGCCGCAGCGCAAGATATCTGGGGCGGCTCTAACGTATGGCTAGAAGTGGGTGTTTTTACTTCCCTACGTTATAAGTAGATACCCCTGAATAAATTGCGAATTGCATTATTGCCTTAATATTATTTGCTATTAATTAAAAGTTAAGAGGGAATAATCTCTCTCTGGGTTCATTGCCATAATTAATTTAGTGATCATTGAACATCACTCAAGTTCAAGGAGTTTCACAAATATTTTCCGAGTAGTTGGTGATATTGTATCTGTCACCTATCCCGTATTACCGATGTCCATAGATGAAGGCGTCATAAACTCAGCACCCTTACTGTTTGGCAAAATATCGAAACAATTCAAGGCTAATATTACTGAAATCGAGTGCATTCGTGCATCTAATCAATATCCGAGGGTATCTCATCATATCGTCTAGTATCGTCCAGTCCTAATTCATTTATTTCTTTAGGTACTCCGCGTATCCGTCCGTGCACTCATATATGCATCTTATCCATACCAGCGTCTAGGGCGCTGCTGCCTCCGCCATGGTGACCGTAGAGTTATTCACGCTTGACAGCAGAGAGCCTTTTTGATGCTTTTAGCTCGCCGGCACTTCCTATTTGGGAGCTAGTCCCTGATTTGCGGATATCGTGTAGTGGGGGGACATGCTCTTCTTCTTCCTCTTCCTCGGCAATGCTACCTCGCTCGCTACAGTCGTCTAAATCGGAAACTTCAGCTGATCCATGCCCGGTAAAGTTGATTATGGCTTTGCCGCCTGGGAGCCGTATATCACGCGCTTCCAAGGTTTCTGCGATGTCGAGGAGGAGCACTTCCATAGGACATATATAAGCAACCTTTTTGCGCCCACTCCACGCAAGGACGTGTCCACAGAGGCGACCATGTGGCCGATCGACTACCCAAGCGCCCGAGTCACCGGGAATACCTAGCGGTAGACTAGTCCGAGGATATACTTTAGGCGGATCTTCCGTAGCGGGGAGTGGGTATCCCCGAACTGTCGAGCATCTACCGCTAACCTGATAGGTATGGCTAGGAGATGATCGACCGTAAATCTTAACAGAAGTCAAAGCCGGTAAAATCTGACCCATCTATTTAAACACAAACACCGTTAGCTAAGACTGTTTCCAGACTTAAAACTATGATTAAAATCGACACCAAACACATACTTGTAATCCGCTCGTGCGGGCAATGCATTGAACCTCCAGCCCTGGCAGAGACTTTGCTGGAACCACTTCTGTTGGGTGGATATTCCCTATTGAAGTCGTAGAGCGGAAACTGCTGGATGCAGCACGAGGGATGAGATTATCCGGGGGTAGCCTCTCATCCTGAAAATCGAATAGAGCCCAATCAATCTCGTGAACAAGCCCGTTCTCATTACGTCTGCGTATCCCAGAGGAGGCGTACATCTCGCCAAGCCTATATGTATCGAGATGGTCCTAGCAATCAATCAGTTTTATGCATGTCTTAATCGAAGTTATGTGTAGCCTCAAGGCTACAGTGTATCAAGTATACCAACATACCTCATCCATCGTCTCCTCTGAGGGATAGAAACCTTCCGGTACGTCGTCAAAGGCAGGCTGAGTGATTATATATCCTATACACAACATGATTAGTCGTAGGCCGGTAAAATCCTAAAGAACTTCAACTACGTAGTAATAGAGAAATAGCCGTGTTATTCTCGTAAGGGACCGGGGCGCATACTTGGGAAGGAACCCTACATACCATCTCCGCAGCCGGGCTCTACGCCTGGGATATCTCCAGGCTCGGTGAACTCTTCTTCCTCATCGCTTTCCTCGCCGTCACTAGTAATGTCGGTGAGGGATAATTCTGATTCGGAATCCGAGAACTCCCCTGCAAATTCGTCGCTGCTATCTCCCACGGATGACCCGCCTTCTAATTGGTATACCGTGGCATTGCTGCGAGGAGGTGCGTTGGCGCGCTTAGGGTCGGTCCGATCAGTTGGGTCCGGGCCATCTAACATATGGTGAACTGTCATCCCGTATGGCTTATCATCGACGATGATTAGGCCCCCGAAACTGACGGGGGGGAGGTGCTTGTCGCCTACCCACGCGCCAATGCTGGCACCATTTTGCGGTCTTTCTTGATATCCTGGATTAGCGACTTCGGAGTCATCTTCGTCGCCTTCGCTTTCGTCGTCATTTCTATCAGGAGATATTGAATGCTGGCTCTTCGCCATACTCCTCGTGGGTCCTTTCCTAGAACGTGTCATAGATCCACGGCAAACTTTTAGCGCGAATTCTGTCGTCCCATCAAAAAACACGCCAAGTTTCTTCTTTAATATAGCTCGGATCTTGCTCACTGAAGTGCAGATAACTAATACCGTCGGCTTGGTATTTTGGGGCGACTCGCCAATAGACTCCAAAGAAATCTCGACAGACTCTGGATTTTTGCGATAAAAGTGCCGTAAGGCTAGGTTAATTTGAGGCATGAGGGTGCTATGCCATTGTTCAATCGTTTCGCTTGATAGCGGTACTTGAGGATATAGTCGAAGTTTCAGTCGCGTGTCCTTTGGATGGTTTGATGTACTCTCAAGAGGCTTTTCGTCTACTGGTATGTTAGCATAATAACTCTAACTATAGGAGAAGGACTCATCGTACGCTCGGGAGCTTGTTTGATGTCACTTCCTGTTCGCTCCAGTTCTGATAGTACTTGTGGACTTGATCCGCGAGTCGGTTGAGAGCTAAAAGACGGTCCTGCCAGAGACTCGGCCACTATTCCTTCTCTTCCTGAAAACCTATCAGAGTCCTCGCTTATTCGCTCGTCTAATCCACTTATTCCGTCTAATATGCAACAAGCTTCTAGATAGCGGCTAGCTCTGATTTGTACTTGGCTTAAAATCTCTTCGGTAGAGCCAGGATGTGAAAGCTCTTGGTCAACCGCATTCCAACATGTCTGGACAGCTTTCATATACGGTGTACCGCAACGTATCGCTAGTTGTCGCAGAACGGACTCTGATATGCTGGGTGACGCTTGATCCGGAACGAGATTCTCGAGTTGAGTCCAGAGGCCGATAGATACAAGCATCATGGCCAACGAGTATAGGTCTAACGTCCTAGTATCGCTCTTTGAAGAGAGGGGTGATTGGGCGGTTGTTCGGGGATCGAGCGGATGACGGTGTAATAAAAAGGTAGAGGGGGGCGCATTACGTGCATCTTCCTCGGGAAAGATATCAAAAGACGATACGAGAGGTCTCCTGACATCCACCTCGCCCATAGGTAAATCAGGGTCGTTTCCGGTAGTATTGCAGAAAGATATGGCAGACGCGCTAAGATTCCCGTGAGTAATACCTCTCGCGTGCATATCAAATACCGTATTGACCAAATTATGGGCAAGACGGAACTTGGCCTCCAGCATCGGTTCGAAATCTGGTCGGTTTAGAAGCTCCTTCAGCGTACACAAGTTATCGAGAGGATTCTGGGTAAAGTTTTCGAAAGTCACCGGATTGAAACCAGGTGGAAACTGATAGATCAGTGCTAGTCTAGATTGTCTCATATCCTCATGATATCCTAAAAGGAGAGGAAGACCGATCCAGGAACCAGGAGACCTTTGAGAATCGGTCTGGAGGCCGGCACTTAGCTTCTCAAACCGAGACATGTCGGGCATGATACCGGTCGCTGAGTATATCGGATCGAATGGTGCATATTCTACGAGGAGGGGAGACCAAGGCTGCGGTCCCTGTCGATGACTCGGTTCCCCGTGGGCCTGCCTGCCCATAAAAAATATCTCTCGAGGTCGATCTCGTGTCATCTCCGTCTCCGTCTCCGAGACGGACACGGGTTGCATCGATCTTAAGTTTGTGAGAGCTTGCAGATCAATTTGTTGAGGTGTTTGAATCCTCGTAGAACTGTAAGGTCTTCGGTCTTCGGTCGAAGCGATAGGTTTAAATTGACCTGCAACCCGCGATACTGCCGCAGAAGACCGCGTCCGAGAAAGGTCACAGAGTGTATCGATAGATGCGGTTAAATCCTTGACAAGGTCCTCAAACCTCCCCTTATCCCAAACTACTAAAGGAACCTTTCGGTCGCCTATCCCCTTTTCCGATTTCTTCTCGCTTCCGACAGCCTGTCTCGAAGCAAGCCACAGAGGTTCGGCCTCCGCAAGTATGTCTTTGATAGTAGCCATTATACTACCTACGAGATCACTCAAGCCCGCTTTAGATAGTGATTCGTCAATCTCTGCAGTCTGGTTCGGATCAGACCATTCTAAGCCCCAGCTTACCAGGCGGTCCTTTTGTATTCGCAGCTTGCGATGCAGAGCTTTTATATCGGGGTCATCAGGACTCGGGGCCGATTCCTTGACGAAGTCGGATGACTTTTTGGTGTCATTATAGAGCCTACTAAGTCGACGTTGGAAAGGCAGCTGAAAGCCGCCGCGGGGTAGAAAGGACTCCATGGTGACTGATTATTGATGTAAATACAACAACCTATAGTAAACAAATTCGAACCTCTCAGGGTTTGAAGTTAGTTATTTCGCGGAGTAGCACCGACGATGTAGACATATAGAAATATATATTTCGTCGATAGATAGTAGATAATATAACGTCAGCCTGAGCGGTTCGAATTTTTGTCGTCTCCCCTCAGCACGACATTGACGGGTCTAGTTAATTACGGGTATATAGAAGCCTTGGGCAGTAGAAGAAAATTAATTGGGTACGCATGTATAGATATGTACCTAGGTAGGTATGTAGGTAGGTAGGTATCTATTCGATAGAGCAGCGTGAACTGAATTGAGAGAGAACCTCACTACTACTTGAACTGGTGATTCAAACGAGAAGCGTCATCAAAACCCCCAAATAGGAGTGAGTGAGTGAGCCTTAGTACCCATGTACGCATCCGCGTGTGTGGAAACGAGAAACGGCTAGGCATACAAAGGCGAGACTCCTCGCATCATCCAACATCAGGAAGCTCCCCCGTCGTATGACAGACGAGACGAAGAAGTAATTCAGCTGCCTTGAGCCCCGCGAAGAAGCGCAGCGTAAAAGTAATTTCGGTGCCTAGGCGCATGTGTATGCGGATCCATTGATAGGCAAGGTATGAGGACCAGTTCAACCTGGGTTAGACGAATCTTGCTTCAAGTAGCTAGGTATGCTTATGTATTTACGTTTGGCTGCTGGATGGATGGAAGTTTGGAGTCGGAGGGCTGTGAGTCCGCGAATGCCAAACATCCAAACAACTTTGAGAAGTTACCGGCGATAGGCAAGGTTCAAAACGCTGCTGCCTGGATCGAGTGGAATTAAAGTTTGAAGATGCGATAATTTAATTGGTTCTAAATCGCGACTAAGCAGCAAATCCACATGGCATTCAAATTGGACAGGGATGCCGTACAAAGGTACATTGCGATGTACCTTTTTTCAGGCTAGGTACCTCCTACAAGATCCCCGACATCCGACATACACCTATACCTAGGTACCTAGGTACTTTTTTTTTTTTCTTTTTTTTTTTTTCAATAACATCGCTAACATTCCCGCCTTCGTTCAGCCTGATCACTCTTTGTTCACCTGTCTAGGTACCCCGGCTCGCCAACAAACCACATTGTCTCAATATCACAAAGACAACTGATGTTTACTACTTTAAGAATCTCATTATGTATATTCATTAAACTTTGTATAAAAGATTCAGGCCTTGTTTTATGGACCCCGGCTTAAACAGGTATTTATTTAAAAGCTACATAGGATCGAAACTCCTAGTATAAAATCAGCCGCAGCCATTTATCTCGATCCATCATCAGCTGGCACTAAGGTCTCAGATTAACGTATTAGACTGTAAACATGAGCCTAGCTGAGTCCGAATCTTCTATCTGCAGGCCAGAAGCTTCTCCAGTAAGTCTGATAGTTCGTATTGTCAAGTCGGTCTTCCTGTATTCATTACAAGAGTATCATCACAAAATATCATCATGGCTTCCAAATTTCAAGCAGACGGTATAATCCTCACGATTCCTGCCGGAAACGGTCAGCACTGCTATAAATTCGACGTCGTTTATTCGTGTGGACATCCTGTCATCGAAACACATTTCGGCCACATCCATGACAAGGTTATCCGCATCAAACGAAATGGCCACAGTGGTCCCTGCTGGGGGCGGCGGTGCGTCGTAGCGATGAACACTTACTTTACTCCTGAGAAGTGTCATTGTTGCGAGATGTATGACCTGAACTCTGAAGGCATCCGGCCGTGAAATTCCTAGATAATTATTGGCTGTAGAGTAGCTGTCGAGTAAATAGTAAGTACATGGTGGGCGATGTAAGCAACAAGGTATGTTCTTAGTAGATACTTTGATCTAGTCTCGTCTATTTTTGGCCCAGGGTGGTGTGTTCAAAGCCAGGCTTCACTGTTTAGATCGACGAACTTAAGGGTGTCTAATGCATAGGTAACATCATCGTCTATAGGATTCTTACCGTCACGTTAATAGTATCAATATTCATTCAATATAAGCTATCATTCTACGCTAATTATATACAGTTGATTATACTACGGATACCGTCTCTAGAGCGTAAACTGACCTACATAGGAAATCACTCGAACCTTAGTAAACTATACGAAGACTTTCTAGAGATATTAAGACCACTTATGTTCTTTGTATTCATATATATGCGGCCGTTGTCATGACCAAGCAGCTTCTCATCATCTACCAACACGTAGGATATGCTAGGCCCAATTGTTTAGGATGTAACCCAAGGGTTCCGTACAACTAGCCTGTTATTGGATCGGGAGAAACGACACTCCAGCATCTATTTTCAGATAATGTTTCTGCCTGCCCATTCTTATGCACGTAAGATTGTCGGTAGAAACTTCCATGAAACCTTTCCAGTTGACAATACGGGTTAATAGCAAATACTCCTATTCTCATATTCTTTCATGGATTCTGGTAAGTGTGGCGTCACTATGGCACAACAGGTCGTGGTTAGATTGTTGGCTTAGCTCTAAAGACTCATATTACGACCTAATCCTTACGACGCCAATAACACCGATATGTTCTAACATAAAAGCTATCTCTAGTATATGATAAGGGTGAGCAGAGTTATCAAAGCAAGTACAAGTCACATATAATATAACTTTCCAAAATTTGAATGGGGATATGTGTCTAAAGTTGAGAGCCGAACGCGATAATCAGAATTCTCTAGCTTACATTGTCTCGCGATCACCTCCTTAGGCAGCCTTATATTTCTATTATCAGTTATCATAAAAGCCAAGCACTCGTAGATACCCCCGAGCAATCTAACTGGTGCTAAGAAATGGTTTGATCGAGATATCGGGTCTGTAGCTAAAAGGTGCTTAAATATCCGACTGCAATGCAACGTTCACAAGCCTCTAGGTTATAGGTATCGCATAGAGAAACTTTTGTCAATAGGTAGTTACACAGATGCTCTGTTAGGGGGACGAGAGGCCGTGCAAAAGACTAGTACCAGTTCCCTCATTCGCCAATAACCTGGCTAACCCGCAGGGCACGAGCGCCGAGGCTTTCATAACACGAGATTACTGCTCTGAACTGCCGGCTGCTGTACTTCGCGATAGAATTCGTAGACTTAAACGAATATCGGTCTGGGACATGGTGCGCTCGCGTCCCCGAGATCTGGCTACCTGCAGGATCATGCGGAGGTAAATTAGCTGAGTTCTTATGTCTCGAGACGGCCGGCAAGTCGCATCGGGCCAAAAAGGTGGCGCGAAGCCGGAACGACCTAGAATCCCTATGAAAGATCACTTGGAGGTAATCAAACAGACTCATGCTGGCAAGCGAAGCTTATGCGGCCGGGGAGGCCAACATGCGGTTCTTTGCAGCGCCTCGCGGCATATTTCTTCATTGCCGTCGTAGAATATTACAGTTCACTTGTATTAACTCATATATCGGCAAAAGGACGCAATGTTGTAGCTCTGGAAGACGCATAAATGAGCCTACGGGGCTTTAAGAGGTCGTCAGGACGTTGCAGCTTGTTCCTCGATAAATGTGGGAAAATAGACTATTCCGGACTCCTCAATAGTATGGATAGAGGAGATCGCAACTCTATCAGAGCTAGTAATCAGGTACGAATACGCCAGAGACAAGTAGTCACCGATTGTAGGCTACGTGATGCCTCCCGAGACATGTCTGCGTATCGGGAAATCAAAACACATTGACGATATGGCATCGCACGATCCACTAGCCAACACCAAACCCGGTCTCGTACCTCACGACAAACGCGACGCTCAGTTACACCAAACGAGACGGTACTTCTAAACCTATATCCGTAGATATGGTCCAGTACATCATCGCCTGGGTTTCGAACACTGACGAAAGGCCACGTCAAACGTCATGGCAAACCAGGGGAGCACAGTTAAGAAAGATCCGCGGCAAGCTGAAGACATGTTAGTCCGCACACAGACGGTCGTTTGGCCTGGTTCAACGTTTGTTACGACGTGGACTTTGGGAACAGGCTCTGACCCGACCGAATCTCCGGCTACCGTTGTCCCTGCGCCAAATTTAAGTTCAACGAGCAATCAAAATGTCGGTCCTATCCTCAGTGGTGTCGTAGTATTATTAGTATTAATACTAATTTTTTGGTTTTGTTGTCGGCAGGGTGAGTTGGGCCTGTCTTTAATGTATGAACATATAGATAGAACTAATTACTATCCCTTTAGGCGGCCCTAACGGTCGTAACTCAAAACGTTCAAGTCGGCGATATGGATCGAGTTATACAAGCAAAGGCAGCTCTAGCAGTTCAGGAGCTTCAAACACTTCATCTCAGAACGACGCAAGTGTCGGGTCGGCAGCAAGCGAGATAGTTGAAGACCAATGGAACCAACAAGCGTCGGCGCCCGAAAGGCCAATGCCGGGAATGCCACCACCTGTCGCAGGACAATGGCCGGCACAACGGCCCGGAGTTGGAATCGGACAAGTGCCGCGGCCGCCTCATCGAGGTATGAATTTCCCACCAGGCTGCGGCGGGCCTCCGCCGGTGATGGGTCAAGGGTTACCGGGTCGAGGAGGACCTCCGCCAATAATGGGTCGCGGCGGATTTCCTCCAGGCGTCACGCAATAGTTCTTCAACCCTCAAGTTTCAACTTTCAACTTTCTCCTCGAATAGGGCTTCCATCCCGAAGGCTCAGTTATTCTCATGACAGTCTCACCATAAAAGGGAGTGACGGTCCATAAGATCCTTTGGGACACTTCACTCTCAATGAAATAAATGACTACCTATAATTCGGGCTGTTTACTAGACGACTTAGGGAAGGGCATAACAACGCAACTGGATCCTGGAGCTATACAAGATGTGCTGGAGGAGGGTGCTATGGTTTACAGTGAAACACCCTCGAAGAGTTTGACGCATAGAACAGCTGCAGTGGCGGTAATACCTCCCATAACGACTATCCGCATCCCTTCCTAACAGCCTTCATTCACCCTTTCCCACACGACAGGGCCTTTTTTCGTACCTCTATATCACCAACTACTTACAACGGATTCGTTGTGGAGAAGATAGTCCTTAGCAAACCCGAAGACGAACAAGGCCAAAACGCAGACAGCGAAGCTCCAACGCAGACCATCAGCTACTTGACTGACGAAGAAGTAGAGGAACAGCGGTAGCAGACCACCGAGCATGTATCCGACGGATACTGACAGTCCGACCACCGCAGGCGGGAATCCCTTGGTCTTACTTGTCAAACCATCAGCAGTCGGGCTTAAGTGGCACAGCCGCCGCCGCGACACAGCAGGATTATAGCCAATATGAGCCTTTACGTATTGGAGAAGATGAGGCGGGAGGTCTAAGGGTGCAAGATATTCTAGGATGCTCTCTCATCCAGCCAATTCGAACCCTTCGCCATGGTCTCGGCTCTTCGTAGTTGTTTCCCTCTTCGCCGCAAGATATCCACTGATGCCCATGCTGATACACCTAACACAGATTTCGGCCATCCCGGCGCAGATGACTGTCTTAATGTGCCCTAGGGACGATAATCCTGTTGTCAGCGCGAATGGAATAGAACTGCGAGGCCATCTGCAAGCCCCAAAGTAAAGTGGGAGAGGAACTCGGGAAGGCGACCTAGAGATAAATTCCGCTGGTAATCCGTTTGGAGGATTTCAAGGCTAGAATCGTCACGTATGGTTTCAGCACTTATCGGAATATCGATGATATTTTTATAAATTTTCTTTTTTTTTTGGATTTGTGGCCAAGGTGGAATAAGCCTGTAGGGTCTTTTGACTCTGTTGGCGTTGGCGACTTAAACCGACGAAGAATGCTTCAATATCGGTAAGTTGCATGTTGATTTAAACTATAGAAGGCGTAACTTGAGGAGTGATACTAGCTGGAACAATACTTGATCTTAGTCGTGTCTATTAGTCGTGTCTACTTGACTTTCAAGCCCTCTGCAATATGAGCTACATACACCTATTTACCAAGTTTAGAAATTAGCTGCAGTCCAGAAAGTAAGGATAAGGGAGACCAATCATTGAGAAGGGAGTAAGCAAAACGTATAGCTCTGGGGATTGGCAGTTTAGTGACGTGCCAGTGCATTGTCAGCTAGGTATTTCTTTGTTTTGGGGGGGAAAGGGGAGACGACAGGGGGTTCGTACCCAATGCTTGGTCATTTAAGACTCCACGTGCTCGGCCTGCTTGTCTATGCCATTTGGTTTACATAGTCCTGGAATCTCTCACGATATGAAGTGATCTTCAGCATATCCCTGTCTTTATTGAATAGGTACATACATAATGACACTGAACTTCTGGCTTCTAGAAGAGATCGACAACTGATCATGATGGTCGCCTGACCCTTACCGATCTGGCTATTTTTAGTGATCAAGTGCCCAGAAGACCAGAACTCATACATACCTACCTATGTACCTACATATAAGATATCTAGTTAACGTAATCTTCGAACTTCTCGCTTGGGTAAAAGTAAACCGAGGCTTACAAATATAGCTTCTCCGCGTATATGCAGTAGATTATTATTTCTAGCTGAGGATTTCAGGCTTTCTGTAGGTAACCTTACAGGTCACCTTCCAAAGTAGAAAAGACGAATGTAACCTTACCCCGGTGAAAGGAACTTGGTCTCTCCACTCATAAACGCTGGTATCCGCCAATGGTTATAACGGCCCGCGCCCATGTGTAAGCAATACCTGGCGCACTACTGGTTCAAAACTTCCCATCGCGGCGGCGGTGTCTACGACACTTCTAATCTCTTATTCGAAGGTAACGACCTCGCCGTGTCGTGGTGAAAGGGTTTGGCAATTTTCGACCGCTTGCTTGATCTCTATGCTCACTGTGTCGTGATCAGCGTGAGTTCGACATCATGCACCCTCTCATTCTCTCGGCTGCGATGTTCGCGGCTAACGTCGCCGCTCAAGTAGAAAATACGTACACTGCAACAGCTACCAGGGATGTTGAGAAAGCTAGAGCTACAGCGAAAACCCTCAGCCCTACTAGCAATGTTAAGGGAAAGGCCTTTGACCGACTGGCCATCATATGGCTGGAGAATACGGACTACGACATGGCATTAGGCGATCGTAAGTCACTCAGCCACAAAGAAAGAATAAAATCCGAGAAAGGATAATTTAACGATCAATAGCAAACCTAGCGTGGCTAGCCAAGCGAGGCATAACACTGTCCAACTACCACGCGGTGACGCACCCCTCGCAGCCGAACTACATCGCTGCTATCGGCGGTGACTATTTCGGGATGCAGCACGATGACTTCACGCAAGTCGATAAGAATGTTTCCACCATTATCGACCTCCTTGAGGACAAAGGTATCTCATGGGGTGAGTACCAGGAAGACATGCCGTATAGCGGCTTCGAAGGCATCGCGTATATCAACCAGGAAAATGGCAAAAACGACTACGTTCGGAAGCACAACCCGGCCGTCAGCTACAATGCGAATGCTCGCCTGATCGACCGTCTGGCCGTCATCAAGAACCTGACCAGTACGTATTTTATTATTCTAGGGGGGTTTCCTGCAACTACTTCAAAGCCTACCTAGAGATCACGACGATTACCTTATGCTGATTCTTGAGGATATACTTACTAATGGACCTCATAGCATTTTACCAAGACCTCGAGAACGAGACTCTCCCGCAATGGATGTTCATTACTCCCAACATGACAAGCGATGGCCACGATACCGACGTGGCCGTCTCTGGGACCTGGACCCGGACCTTCCTGGAGCCCCTCCTCTCCGATAAGCGCTTCATGCAAAATACCTTAGTAGTAATCACTTTCGACGAGAACGAGACCTACTCGATCCAGAACCGTATCCTAGCCATCCTAATCGGTGACGCCGTGCCTGCTGATTTAGTTGGCACCACAGATGACTCATACTACAACCACTACAGCGAGATCGCGACTGCTGAAGCAAACTGGGATCTGCACACACTCGGGCGATTCGACGTCGGCGCCAACGTATTCAAATTTGTCGCCGATAAGACAGGAGATACCGTACGCTCCTGGAACGGTGATATCCCGCTTTCAGACATGTACTTCAACTATTCGTACGCGGGGCCGCTAAATGACGAGGGCGGCAACAAGCAATACCCGGCGCCGAACTTGGTCGATGCGAGCGACTTGCACAACCGCACCGTGCTACCTGGTATCAAGGAAGCGTGGGAGGGGAACTCAGCGCCGATGTACTATTCTTCGAGCTTAGAGACTCCGGATGGGCAGCACCCGCCAAAGGGGTATGTACCGAGCGAGTAGATATGTAGGTTAGCATATGTCTATAATTACTACCTAGCTATGAACCTTGTACGTACAGATATCTATAGCTTATTGAGAAATTATTCCGCCGGCCGTATTTTTCTCCCTTCGTTGCTATGGGGGTCTCTCAACCTTCGGTAGTTTGGATGCTGGTGAAGTTAATATGGACTGATCTCGATGAGAATAATCAAGCCATACAGCTTTTCTCTCACACGGCCAAACTCATCTTTCCATCAGACCCAGACAACCTAACATAAGCCTAAGATGTAACATAAGAAAAAGGCATTCGCCAGCTAACTTTGGAACACCACCTAATGCATCTTACAATATATTAGATTTCGACGAAGGATGGATTATAGACTCAATCTAGAACTACACGATACAACATAAAACAAGGAATAGAGTGAAACGAGGTAGCCAAAATTCTATTCCGAGGTATCCTATTTTTTATCTGTCCCGAATTGTTAGGCTGCCAGGCTAGCCAACCGAGTACTCCCACGTAACCTATTTGTGTATCCGTTTACTCATCTGTACAGCCAATCCAGCATCCCTAAAGCCCAAACTAACATCATCTCCAACCCATTTTTCCTATTAAGATAGTACAAGTCGGTACGATCCAATAGCTAAAGACGTCGACAGCTATGCGCGCCACAGGATGAATATCCTAGCTCGAGCACAGCTGAACACTAATACGCCACAGCTACGACGCACTCGACACGACGTCGCTTAGGAAACCAACGGTTCACAACGCGAAATCTAACGTATTTAATTGCTGTTTTATAGCAATATACCTTATTCCAACCCTAGCCACAGCCCCCCTACCCTGTCGCAAACGTCAATTCATTCGTGACCTAATGTGCCGTGATGACACCGCTTCATTCTCAGAAGCCCACTTCACCTCTCCTTTACCTTCTTGGCCTTATCGGTTCTCTCCGCATTACCGCTGAGGGGGGAATGACACCGGTGCGAGTGTCAGATGGCGGTATAGAAGAATTATGCATTAGGTCCCAATCTTCTTTCCTATCATAGCCGTACGTTCCACGACGAAAATCATCAGTCGTGAACGTCGGCCAGCTTCCAAAGGCACGTGGCCATTTTTTGCAACCGCCCCGTATACTTGGTGGTATCATAAAAAGCCACATATACACACAAACGCCTTGATGCTAGACCTGAAACGCCGTCCCTTAAAAAGAAAATGCATCGTATATACCGAGAAAATGTTAAGTCGTAATATAAGAATATAAAAGACAAGACGATCGTTGCTTATTATCAATATGAATCCGAGTGCCGCTGGGAAATTGCAATCTCTAGTTCCAGCAGAAACATCGAAGATCGTCTAAATCGATATTCGAGGAGAAAATATCTGCGAAGACTTGCAGTCTTCCCAAGACTCATGATGGGGTTGCCTTCGACGGGACCATGCTCGGTCCCATACAGATGCAATCATTTAACCTCTAATTGCTGTCGCAGTATGAGCGTCTGACAAAAATCGAAAACGATCTTGGGAAGTCTGGGTGCTCTGGGCACTCTGGGCGAGGAATGGAGTTGGGTCGGCGGGAAACTTGAATGGTGACGTACCAGCAAGGGGGAGGAAGCCAGTCATCGAACCTGGGGACGTCGCCTTACCCGTAGGTGTACTGGAACTAGTCGTGCTAAGACTCTGTTGCGACAGCGGAGATTCTGCCGGAGAAGCACCAATAGCTGCAGACATGTATCCAGTACCGAAGTACGGGTTAAGACTCTGTCGTAGAGAATGATGTATCGCGCTGTGGTGATGATACGACGACTGATCAGCAATGTTTGGGCTGCCATTCGAACTCGAGTCGGTGCTGTTAGACCCATTAATTAATAAATCATCTATCCCGTCATACCGGCTACTGCGCGAGGTTCCATCTCTCATCTGAGGACTGGATTGCTTTGAGCCGTTGAACTACATGAAACAGAAAGGTTAGTGTAAACGTTACGAAACTTTATGTCTTCGGGCGTGGTTCTCGTTTCGATGCGAGGCCAGGATATTACCAGGTGTACGTACAAAGCAGTATTTGTTGAGGATCTCTTCGTACGAAGCCGACGCTATGCTGGCCGAGGAAGAACCGTTGTTGGAAACCTTTGGTCCCGATGGGGCAGATGAGGACGCGGGCGGGGCTCGGTTGGGCTGAGATGCCTTGGGTGTCTGGGCAGCGGGGACGGCGTTGAAC